TCGTGCCCTTGTACCGTCACAAGAACTGTGCAAATAGCTGGTCGTTTGAGGTATCATCGACGGCGTTAAGAGCTGCGATTAGTGCCTCCTTTGAAGACGCGAGAAGGAATGCCTGGAGAGATATATTAATAGTATGGGCCACACAGCGGATGCGGCCCTTTACAGGATCAAACGACAACTAGTAACCAATCAGTCCTAATCCAGAAATAAGAGAAAAGCTATCGTACTCCATAGTCTTCTCGTAACCGGTGAGACAGATAAGACAAGCAGGTATCATTTGAAGAGGCATTATCCCCTACATGGTAGCCCACTTTAGATGCAATGCCGTACTTTGCCAGTGTGTCGATGATTAGAGATGCCTGGGTTTCACCACCATGACTATAGCGACACTCTGGCATCGATAGCAGTGCTCTTCGTGGCTGATAATTCTCATCCACCCATCGCGCAGAGATGGCGAGTATCCCATGGCGATGTGGTGATGCCCAGAGATCAGAGGAGATATGAATCTTTGAGACAGCAGTTTCCAGAGTTGCCATGAGCTGGGAAGAATATAATTCATACGTAGCATCAATTAGCCGCATCAGAGCACTTCGGTTCGTCACTAAAAGGTCCTCTATAGCAGGATTAGCTGCTAGCATAATCTCTTGCATCTCATCCCAGGCAATCGCTGAGAAGGCAAGCCGCCGACGCGTAATTAAGCTGATTATTGCGTCTAAATATCGATCGCGGTCGAAAATACGGCGGAGAGAGACATCCGAGTAACGAGATGGAAAGAAAGCATCAATCCGAGGACGTTTAGCTTCCCTCTCATCATCTAGGACCTCAGAACTGCCCTCAATGAGAGTGCGATCGATACAAGAGATAATATCGGCATGGCACCGCCGGGCATGATGCCATGCGTTATCCCGCTTCCGGTTCGCCCAGGGCTTATCGGCAGGGCAATGGAGACATCGATACATCACCATACCCCTGGATTTACGCTTCCGTGATCCGCCAGTGACATTCTGGGTGTCCTCGTCAGGATATGTGGCTTTGAAGAAGAGGAAGAAATCCAGAGACGTCCCAGTAATAGGCTGGTCCGAAATCGAGGGCGCAGAGGCAGGAGTGGCCTGAGACGATGCCATGGAAGATAAATCGCCTAGATAAGCTAATTGCGTGAACCGTTTGTGTAAGGTCACGGGGCTTTTTCAGCTACAAGGTAAGCTCGGAAATCAACAAATCGATTGCCTTGCAGAGGGAAACCAGAAGCTCTGGACGAGCTGGGCAACTAGTTACATGGTCGATGCTCAGGGGGAGGCTCTGAGACCTTCATTTGGTGGCGTCATCAGCATCGGCATCAGTCGTGCGCACATTAGCCGAGAGCGCATCAGTAGCACAGCCTATTACAGTTTGGACGACTACTTAGTTGGTGGTTCGCATGTTGAAATTGGGAGAAAACTTTTCTCCTCTATTCGATTGATAAGATCTTTTGCGCCAATCAGAGAGCGACAGTAGGTGGATATCAATCTGGATATCCATTTAAGAGGTAGAAAGTTATATGGATATCGATATATATCAATATCGATATATCCAGATAGCAGAGTTGATATCGATATATCGTATCCAAATACGCAGGTCTGGTCATAGCGTCGGCTATCATGACTAAACTTAGCCGAAAGTTAAATTCGGACGAAAGGAAGTTTTTTGGTATTAAGCAGAGGGCTGCAGACTTTGTCTGCAGCACCACAACGAACAACAACAATAATGATTTGGGAATTGCTACACGGGCATGACACTTTGGCTACACGGGCATGAGTCTTACACGGGCATGACTTTTAACACTCCTGATTCGCCCAAATTTTGCTGACCCACAGGTACTTTCTTGCAAAGGCGGTGTCATGAGCTTCCTTAACAGCTCTAAGTCAACATATTCTTGTCTGTTGTCGCCGGGTCGCGCACAATCTTAGAAGCGATCGCTCCCGCATTACTTAAGAAGCTCGCCTTCTAAATCACAATCGTACTCTATTAGTCAGTAACTGCTATGTATTATGCAGCTGCCTGTTCATTCCAACCTCATCAAAGAATGTAGCTACTCGGGGCGCTACCGCTGAAATTTATTGAGAGGGTAGAGACAAGATGGATAGAGTCATCTTCTTCTTGTGCTGACACGAGGCTGTTCTTGGTTGCCCCTTGTGCTGACACGAGGCTGTGCTTGGTTGCCTTATGCAGTGAGCTGTGGCCAAGGTACTTGTGGTGGAGGTGGCAGAATGCAAGGGATCTTAACAAAAATTATTTGGGCGAATCAGGAGTGTTAAAAGTCATGCCCGTGTAAGAGTCATGCCCGTGTAGCCAAAGTGTCATGCCCGTGTAGCAATTCCCACAATTTATTTCGACGAAGATTTTACAGCTTACCGAATGGGTGTACAAATTCATAACGTCGGCTCACTCAAGCAACGAAGAGATCTCCAGTAAATTAAGGATATTCTACAAGAAGTGCCTTGATTGGTATACGGAAATTCTCGCCGTTGCAGAGAAGGATTTCGGTAGAACGCCATTTGTACTATTTGTCCAGTAAGCAATCATCCAGTAAATCCCCCAAAGGAAGAGTCCTAAAGACTTAACCGCTGCTCTACCTGACATTGGATAGGGGTGGGCTGGGAGCTCCGCCTTGTAGCATTCTTTCCCGC